GGCAGTTACAGAGGTTTGAGGGGAGTTGTTTTGGTCATCTATTACTAATAGAGGACCTGAAGTGGAATTCACAAGTTGTCCACGGGCTGTTGATGAGGAAGGCTGATCCTAAGACAGTTACACAGGTGAACAGGATAAAATTCATTGTGGGTAACAAGTTGATAGGAGCCTAAGGTTCGGAAAGCTCCCTTTCATTCCGAAGGCGACAAAGGAAAACTGCTCCTTGAAGCGAAAATACTTCAGTAGCAATAAACCTCCCACCCTTTTGGACCTACACACTGCCTTCATTGAGTGCACAGATGATGACGATGCGTTAAAGCTTGGAATGGTCTATTTTGCCATTTTTGTGCTATTGGGTACTGAAAAGCATGTGCTTATTGACATGCGCTATTTGAAGTTGGCCGAAGACTTAGAAGAGTTTGACAAGTATCCATGGGGTGCCGTGTCATATGCGATGACAAATGCTTCACTTTTGAGGGCAGTTTCTCCTGATTACCAACAAGTGAAGGTGCCCCAAAACAAAAAAAAGCCCAACAAACGTGGGAAGAAGAGAGCGCAGACAAGAATGGAATGCAGTAGAGCCAGATAGTACATCATAAGGGGGTTTGGCTTCGCTTTTCAGGTGAACACATATCCAACAATGTTTTAGTTCATTTAAATACATGTACAGATTTTGATGTTTGATTGTTGTCAACAGATTTGGGCTTTTGAAGTCTTCCCAACATTGGAAGCATTGCATTTCACGGTCCATGAAGACAATAGACACATCCCTCGAATATTACATTGGAGGAGCAACACGGTGGCCCGTTTTCGGGAGGTTATGACTCAGGTTTATGAAAACTTTGAGGTTAGTTCAGTTTGTATTACTCAGGTTATGATTAGGAACAAGTAATGGAGGTTGATGTGCAACTTCTCTGGCCGACTGATATTGAGAAGCAACAACCTTACTGGAGTTCGGGTGATGATGAGAACAACGAAGAAATTGTTCAATTGTTTGGGGATGAGGGCGAAGACAAAACCAGCACTTCTAGTGAAGAAAAAGAGGCGGATGTTGACACATCCCTCGAATATTACATTGGAGGAGCAACACGGTGGCCCGTTTTCGGGAGGTTATGACTCAGGTTTATGAAAACTTTGAGGTTAGTTCAGTTTGTATTACTCAGGTTATGATTAGGAACAAGTAATGGAGGTTGATGTGCAACTTCTCTGGCCGACTGATATTGAGAAGCAACAACCTTACTGGAGTTCGGGTGATGATGAGAACAACGAAGAAATTGTTCAATTGTTTGGGGATGAGGGCGAAGACAAAACCAGCACTTCTAGTGAAGAAAAAGAGGCGGATGTTGAGGAAACAACTACCCTTCCCTCCTCTTCTAAGGTGAGCATGACCTTTTTCCAATGTTGTGAACATGTAGAGAATACGATACGAAAGAAGTGGAAATAGTTTTCTTAGCTTTTGTAAGATTTCTAACTGTTGCATTATAACTTTATGCAGGGCAAAGGGTCTTTTAATGACTTTGGCAGGTTGAAGCATCAATTAGAAAGCACTAAGGATGAGTTAGCAAAGCTACGTAGTTCAAATCGGGGCCTTAGGAACAGAGTTCGTGACTTGGAAGCTATTGTAGACAAGAACTGTTTGAAGCATGAGAAGGAGTGTGACAGAAATAAAAAGGCTATTGGGGATTTGACCCTAACAATTGCTTCAGTGGAACATTATTTTAAATTGGAGATGGAGGAGTTAAAAAAATTATATGGTGGACAAGGGCATGAGGAAGCGTGGACTGCTCAGATGAATGAAGGAGGGCAGAATGAAATGTCACCCTTGAATGAACTTACTACTCCGACTACAGCAGGGCCTAAAATGGACGCACAAGTTGCAGGTGATGGAGTGGAAGCCTTCCCAGGCATGCATACAGAACGGGCTGAAATGGAAGCAACAGTCTATGGTGGAGTGGAAGGGGCTGAAAGGGAAGCGGAAGTCCCTATTGATGGAGTGGAAGCTTTTCTAGCCATGCATATACAAGGGGCTGAAAGGGAAGCGGAAGTCCCTGCTGATATTGTGGAAGGTTTCCTAGCCATGGAAGTCGAA